GCCCCCCGGCCTCCAGCGCCCCGCTTTGGGAGCCACCCGCGGCTAACACGAACCCTAACCCACCAGCCTGTCCTCCTGCGCTGCGGGGATCACCCCGTGTCTGCTGCTGCAAGCCCACAGGTGGGGACTGTGGGAAGGCACGCCCCAGGTGGTGGCTGGGCTCGGCTTAAGGGGTGAGTTGACACTTCCCTTGGCAAAGCCCTTCTAATGGTAAATAATAGGTTTGTGTGGAAGTTTTGTTCATTTAATTCAAACACCAGTTAGATTGGCAGAGGCGCTGAGAAAACACCAAGGAAAAGGAAACCGGCAGCGACTCCTCTTCCTTGGCACCAAAATCAAACACTCTTCTTCCAAGCGACACTTGTAGCCCATCACAGCTGGAATATGGCGAATAATTCATGGAAGATACTGAAGGATCTCAATAGCTGTTGCTTCAAATAGACTGTACATGTGGGGACAAGGGGGTACCAGAGCACATAATGGTACCTGCTTGCAGTTAGCATCACCCACCCCTCCTCTTTCAGACCTGCAAAGGGTCTTTCCTCTTGTAGTTGGTCCAACAGATGATGCCACATCCCCTCAATCACCTCGTAGTTGAAACCTTCACTCATCCCAACCACTACATCCCCCCGCTAACAGAATAAAGCTCTCCATCCTGTCCCTCTTCTAAACGATAAATGTTCCAGGTCATTTTTATTTAGCATACAAGAGAGAGGTACAAATGTATTTACACTGTGTACATATACAATCAAATAATATATAATATCAAAGTTTTGTAAATAATGTTTACATAAATATTTACAAAGTTAAAGTGACACTTGTTTTCCTCTGGAAGTAAAACACAGTTTGTGAGAACTTTATACAGCTTAGACTTATAATTAATATTAGAATACGTTCTGTGGAGCTCTATGATACACAGCCCTCCTCTCTGGCGTGTGGCAGGACTCCAGAGGGCGCTTGGAGTTGTCCCTGGGGACAGAGCTGGCCCAGGGACCGGTTTTCTCTGTCCCCAGAGGGCAGCACAAGTAACAGCCGAAGCGCTCCAGGGAACAGACCCCACAAAACCTGCCTGTGGACGGGCATTTCCAGCGGGAGCAGCCCTGTGGAACGGGGCCTGTCCCCCCTTTGCAACGGAGGGGTCTGGCAAACCCCAGTGCACGGCTCGGGCTGGAGGAGGGCAGGCTCGGGGGGAGTGGAAACGCAACCCTCTGCTCAGTGAGGGCTCCCGGGGAGGGAAATGTGTCCCTTGGAAAGAGCCACCGGAGCCGAACAGGCACGACCCGGGCTGTGCCAGCCTTTCGGTGGGATATGCATCAGCTGGACGCTCCCTGGAGCAGAGAAGGGATAAGAGCAGCTTTTCCTTCCATCAGATTATGTGTAACAGCCAGGCAGGACTCACCCCAGCCAGCTTTAGGCTGTCCCATTGCACCAGCAAATCCACGCAGGACATCCCGCTGTGTCCCTTGTCCCCCTGCCCACCCCAGGGACCAGCAGCACCCACCCTACACCGTGTCTCCCCAGGGAGCATCCCGCATGGTGCAGCTCATGGAGCTGGGGGGGTCCCTCACCAACCCCGCTACTGAACCC